CCTAACACATGTTTAATGAAAGTTGGGAAGTAGTATATAGACTCAACACCACTAATTAAACATTGTTGACTTAATCGGAACCTAATTTCAATTGAGAACGTGTCATACTAAAAAACAACCTTCGTGCGAAATCAGCTTCTTTACATTTCTATCCTCAGCTTCTTTGTGAAATATTAGTGTTTGAAACTTCTTTTTGGATATTTTGGAACATCCAAAATTTTCCAATTAACATATTTAAAAGATAGACCGCAACCTCAGCAGCAGCAAAGTAATACTACAGTTTCTTAGTCAACCACGCATTTCCATTTTGAAAATTCTACCATATATATGTTTGTTTACACAAAATATTCTCTGTTAAAACCCTATAAATACCTGACAAGAGCTCCAACCAGATTCATCAAATAAAATGGAGTTGTGGAAGATTTCATTTGGGATGTTGTGTGTGTTAGGGTTTGTGAGTGTGGCTGATGTAGCCTACGCTCAAAACTCACAAGCTGACTACTTGAACGAACACAACGCTGCAAGGTCACGGGTTGGTGTTGCAAACATTGTTTGGGACAGCACAGTTGCTGCTTTCGCACAAAACTACGCCAATCAACGCAGAGGTGACTGTAAACTGATCCACTCTGGTGGTGGTGGGAAATATGGGGAGAATCTTGCAGGAAGCACTGGTGACCTAAGTGGGAAGGATGCTGTGAAATTGTGGGTGAATGAGAGATCAAAGTATGATTACAATTCCAACTCTTGTGTTGGTGGAGAGTGCAGACACTACACTCAGGTTGTTTGGAGGAACTCCGTACGCGTTGGATGTGCTAAAGTAAGATGCAACAATGGAGGCACTTTCATCGGTTGCAACTATGATCCTCCTGGCAACTATGTCGGTCAAAGACTCTATTAATCATTTACTTCTTTGAATGTACCAGCTACCACTTTCCACTGCTTCTATATTTCTAATAAATCACTATAACATGCAAGTACTTCATCCTGCATGAATTTAGGTCTCCACCTTAGTAAATTCATGTAGTTACTTGTGTTGAAATTATAATAAAATGTTGTTTACTTTATAACTTTTAATCACTGTGTGCATCTATAGTTGATTTTAGAAAGAAAAAAAAAATTCTTCGATACCATTTGATAGTAAAAGTAAAATGGTCAAAATAAATAATTTTTTTTATTTATAAAGAAAGTGAAAAAGATTTATATTTAGATAATAATAATAAATATACAAAAAGTTTCAATAATATATGTGTTCTACATTATATGGTGATTTTATAAAATTAAAGTGTTATTAAAATATTCTGGTCCTAAATATTATTCCATCTCTTTTGACCAATTATTAAGATGTTGTAGGTAAATCTAAGACTGTCAATTGGAATAAGCAATACACTCTCTGATCCAATATCTCTTTTTGTGTTGAAAGCCCATATGTTTCATGTTCTTCTTCATTTATAATCAATATAAAATAGGATAATATATTTTAATATATATCCTTTACAAAATTTTAACACGGCATACTATCATTTTTTATTAAATTTAGAAAATATCAATAAAAAAATAATGAACCAATAAAAAAGTAATAAATATACTATATCAAACTATTATTAAAAAATCTATGTTAAAATATATTTTTTCAATATAAAATATGGAGATTTATTATTTGTTACAAGTCCTTCGTATACACAGTGAAAAAAAATACTAGATATAAAAACAAAACTAAAGGAATCTTAGCTTTAGTCTTTTTTGAGGTGTATAAATTAATGGAATATCATAGACTTTAAATATATAGACAAGAATATGAATTTTGATATTTTGATAACTTTTTATAATAATTTTTTTACAATAGATTATGTATCACTATTTTATTTATTTTGTTTAAATTAAAAAAAATATTTGAAATGAACCAATCACATACTATTATATGAACTCACTAGATTGGTAGAAGGTGGAACTGTGGGATTAGATTGAGGAAGAAGTGTCAATAGACCATGAATTTGCTCTTGAGAAAGTCCTAGAGTTGAGGAATGTGACTGTGCCGGAGAATTATTATAAGAAGAAACTACTGTAGAAGGATCTATTGTAACATTGTGGACTCTTTTCGATTTGAGATCAGGTGGTAATCCATGTATTAGAAAGCAAGTATCAATGGTGTGGTTTGTCCTGCCACAGTGAGTGCATTGTCGAGGTGCACCAAATCTTTCCCCTAAGGAACGAGCCTGAGAACCTTGATATGAAGATCTTCCCCAGCCATAATCATTGGCATGAGAGGGTTTACCTCTGTCATTGAAGGTAGAAAAAGAAGGTTTAGATTGAGAAACTTTTGACGCCACGACTGGAGGTTGAGAAAGAATTCCTGATTGTAATTGTCGCTCATGTTGAATTATCATCGAAAAAAATTTGGGTAAAGAAGACAAGGGATCCATGAGAAGGATCTGAGAGCGAACAACAGAGTACTTATCATTCAAGCCTCTAAGAAAACAAAGAACACAATCATTTTCACGATATTCCTTCATTGTCTTAGAAACAACACAACAAGAAGCAGAAGATTGGCATTTAATAGGGCGAAAATTGCAAAGTTCATTTCAGATAATCTTTATTTTAGTGTAATATACAGTAACACTTAGGTCAAATTGATGCATTGAAAAAATATCTTGATGCAATTGTGAAATTCGAACAGAATCACCTTGGGAGAAACGATCTTTGAGATCCTTCCATGCCGCAGCGGCAGAGTCAATCCGAGAAATCCAAACTGTGAAGGCTCTATTGAATGCAAGGTTCAAGATTAAAGACTTAGGCCAACTCAAGTATTTTCTGGGCTTAGAAATTGCAAGATCTCATCAGGGCATTAATTTGTCACAAAGGAAGTATGCTCTAGAGTTACTAGAAGAAGTAGGATTGTTGGGATGTCAACCTGTTTCTACTCCCATACAGCCAGGCACAAAATTTTTCAAAACAGAAGGAAAACCCTATCCAGATGAGCAGGCCTATAGAAAACTTATTGGCAGCAACAATAAGAATCCTGAGATATATCAAGAACAATCCAGGACAAGGATTATTCTTTTCCTCCAACACAGAACATGCTCTCAAGGCTTTTAGTCATTTTAATTGAGTTGCTTGTCCAAACACTAGAAGATTTATACGTACTCATGTCTAATTGTAAAAAAATAAAGTATTACTAATACTTAATCAACACCAGACCATATCCCATATCTAATCAATATAAAAATTCTTCATGGAGATTCAATTCCTGAAAGACGAGTTTATTTATAAAATAATCATAAAAAAATAATTTTTTAAATTTGTAAAAATAAAAAAGAGAAATGAAAAATATATCAAGTAAAAAAAAATTTGAATGTCAAAATACAATTTACTTTTTTATATTTATCATCGTGCTGTTCAGTGAATTTTGTATAAATCAAAATGAATTAGTGTACATATCGGATTATTACACCTTGTCTAGAAACATCAACTAGTTATTGTCCGGTGTTTTCCTTCAAATTATCTACAAATTGTTTTACTTAAACATAAAAATTTGAAAACTTGAAATTAAATCATTGTTTAAAATGAAATCCCAAATAATAAATTAGTTTTAAAATATAATCAAAGTAAAATTATATTATAAAATATTAATTAAAATAAATCAAGTTTTTTAAAAATAAATTCAAATAAACTACAGAGTTACTAAATATAAATTTAAATAAAATTATAATTTTTTAATGTTTAGTTATATAGATTTAAATAAAATTAAAAATATATAAACTCAAATTATAACTTTTTCATCATTAATATTTTTCTTTAATTTTAATTTTATCACTTGATTTTAAAAAAAATTCAAATAAATGACTTTTTGTTATCACTTGATTTAGAAATATTCAAATAAACAACTTTTTGTTATCACTTGATTCAAATAAATGACCTTGATAATTCATTTAAGAAATTTAAAAATTACTTAATATTCAAATAAATGACCTTTTGTTATCATCAAATCAAGTGATTTATTCCAAAAGTCATAAATATGTTACTTTTGTGGGTATGGCCAGGGAAGACCGAGTCCACATAACTTCACATACACACATAATAGTAAGAAGTGTGAGAACATGGTCATATAATTTTTGTTAAATAAATGCCTACAAAATTTATTGTAAGGATATTTTATTCAAATATAGTTTTATTCATATAATGAAGTGGTGGTATTTTGATACGATTTTAAAGTTAAATTTAATGAAATTATTTAGATTTTTTTTATAAAATTGTGTCAATACGACAATTTGTCGAACTTCAAATATTTTTTTAAAATTATATTATCTTTATAATTTCAAAAGCAAATTATCTCAAATTAGTACAAAAAGTAGAGATGAAAAAACAAAATGTTGTGCCAGTGCTTTTAAATATGAAAAATTATATTTTGATGCCATCTTACAAACAAAAACCTATTTCACAATTAGTTTTATAATGTAACAATAAATATTAATATTTTAATTAAAAAAATGAAAATATATTATTAAAATATGAATATAATAAATTGTTTTAAGGTGTCAAAATATAAATGCTTTTAAATATATTGTGAGATCAAAGAATAAAAATTAAATATTAAAATATTTTAGTCTCTGCTATTGCTAGGAGTAAAATATTGTTTGATTGGTTAGCCTTACCTGGTCCAACAAACCGGATTAGTAAAACCACTTAGAAAAATAAAATAAAAGGATAAGCAGAAACAGTGCATCAATAATTTTCATATGAGAAATCTGCCTCTAATTATGCATTTTTAATGTAGAATGTCAAAATGTAGCAGTATAATTAATTAATGTTCTAGAGTCATAGTGTTTATGAGAAAAATCAAATATACTTCTGGGAAATTTCAATGCATGAATGAGTTTATTAACTGAAATTCTGACGCAGTCAAGGTGTTTGAAAAGTCTTCGCTATGACTAGGAAAATACAATACACAGCAACTTATTCCGATGTTGCTTTTGGCAAGCACGTCATGATATTAATTCTTGATCTTTGAGATTTCAATAGAGGCAAACTTCTGCAGAAAGTGAAAACTTAAATATGAACCATGCCTCAATTTGTCCATTTTACTAGTTCTGTTGTACTCCTATGTGTCTACAAAAATGAAGCCTACCTTAAGAAATTATTATCCTCTTGTTTTCTTTGGGTCATTATTCTGTCTCTTTATGGCCAGATTTGGTGCTGAAAGTGACATTTATTGCTTGCAAACTATCAAGAACATGGACACTTCTGATCTCTTATCTAGCTGGGATTTCGAGAGCAACACCGAGCGTGGCATATGCAGATTCGGCGGTGTTGAATGCAGCAGCAACTATGTGGAAGATAGAGTAATCGGTATATGGCTATCTAACATGGGGCTGAAGGGTCAGTTTCCTCGTTGCATCGAGGATTTCATATGGTTGCAGACTCTGATCCTCTCACACAACGACCTTTCTGGATATATCCCAAACGATATATCAGCCAAGCTGCCATATCTGACCACACTTTATCTCTCAAATAACTATTTCTCTGGTGAAATTCCAAAGGGTATTGCCAATTTGTCAGGCTTAATTACCCTTCTACTTGATGGCAACCGGTTAACAGGCCAAATCCCACAAGATCTTGGGTTGCTTCCCAGGCTGAGAGATTTCAGTGTTGCAAATAACTTGTTGGAAGGGTCAGTGCCTGTTTTTGTGAACAATCTTAATGTGAGTTTGAGCTATGCAAATAATAGTGGACTCTGTGGGGGAATACTAGGAAACTGTGATGAGAGCTTGTTTGGTAGATCGTTCTGGTATAGTTTTATTGTTGCTTTTGCTTGCTCAGCTACTTCTGTTCTAGTTTCTTTCATGTACTATTATGCACCTTGGACAGAATTCAAAAAGAGGAGGAGTAACGCTATTCATCCCCTAGTCAAGAAGCAGAACACTGAACAAGAAGCTGAATTGCTACCACTGGCCTTTCATGAGCAAGGAAGCAAAGAGGTTTTCTCTCTCTCTCTCTCTCTCTCTCTCTCTCTCTCTCTCTCTCTCTCTTCAGTTGTGTGAGCCGACTATATTTGATATCAAACAAAGTCACAAATATTAAATGAACAAATGTTCAAGTTATTTAAAAAAAAAACCACAAAGATTGGAAACACTTCTGTTGTCTCGATCACACCACTTTTCTTATAATTAAGAAATTCTAAGTTGCAGTTTGTCTCTTATATCAAAGTCATATATATGTATTACATATTTACCTTCAAAATTTAACTGTCATGCATGATACGGGCTGATGTATAGTGTTACATTTCATCATCTACAGCTATCAATATTGTTGGAGAGATTTATTTCTAGAATGAGCTTCAAGGAATTATGCAAGGCAACCGATTACTTTTGCATTGATAACGTGTTGGGGATAGGAAAGACAGGGATTATGTACAAGGCAAAGGTATCAAATAGTTGTATTCTGGCAGTTAAGAGACTGTATGATGCTGATAAGTACAAGTGGAAATTCTTACTTGAAATAATGATTCCGGGAAGACACAGGCACAGAAACATAGTTCTACCGCATGGATTCTGCATAGAGAAACATGAAAGGGTTTTGGTGTATGAGTACATCTCTAATGGAAGACTCAGTGATTGGTTACAATCTGACGAGGGACATCAACCAACAAAATTAGAATGGTCCGAGAGGATTCACATTGCACTTGGGATTGCAAGAGGTTTATCTTGGCTCCACAAAAGGTGCAACATAGTCCACCTCTATTTAGATTCGGAGTGTGTCTTGCTGGACAAGTACTTTGAGCCAAAAATTTCGAATTTTGGCAAGGCGAAATTCCTAAACCAGACTGTTGAAGATCATGTGAGGATGAAATTCTTTTTGGTTGATAGACTTGGAGTGAAGGGTTATGCTGAGAAGGATGTCTATGATTTTGGAATAATCCTTTTTGAACTTTTAACGGGGAAAAGACTAAGTCCATCCACTGATTCTTCTGACAGTATTAATTGCCATTTGATGAAGTATATCAGTAAGAACTTCTTCACTGATCCTGCTGACTTTTATGATGCCATTGACGATTCTATAATGGGGAAGGGTTTTGATGATAAAATCCTACGTCTTCTTGAAGTTGCATGTGACTGTGTTAAGACATCTCTAAAGCAAAGGCCAAAGATGGTTGACATTCACCAAACTATAAGAGCTATGTGGGAGGGCTACAAACCCTGCTTTCATTCTGAAAGTCTGACAGTAAAAATAAAATAAAATAAATTATATATATATATATATCAGACTAATCTCAGTTCTTAATCAGATACGTAAGATCTCAAATAAATCCATGAAGGTGTGAGAGGACGGAAAACTGAGATGACTTTTTCATTGTTTACGTAAATTACAAGTCTTCTATATTTTAAAACTTACAACTAGTTTAGCATGAGTGCTAGAGAAATAGTAAGGAAATTAAAACCGCTGCTAAAATGATAATTAAGAGCCTCAATGATACAGATAACTAATTTTAATGAAAACAACTTTGGCTCTAATTACAATTCTTCTTAGTATTTATAATATTAAAATATAGCAGTGGCTGATGTTGTAGCCATAGAGTGGGCCAGCGTGGCGAAAATTCAAATTGAAGTTCTAGAAATTTGGTACGAGGTTTTATCCACTTTATTTATTAAGGAGAAATCAAAACTATGAAACGATCATCGCGATAATTTGGAATTTGGCTGATAAAACTGACTAAGAAATTACAATGGAGCACTTCAAAAGTGAAAGTCAATTAAACTTATTTTTTTTATATTTTTTACATGCATGCCATAATATTTATAACATTAAGGGTGATAACCTAATTAACCTTAATTATTGGTTAATTTATTAAGATTCCTGTACTCCATCAAATTTCTTCAACCACCCTATCATTTTGGATGGATAAGAAATTTGATAGGGGTGTAGAAAGCAATCCTCTTTGATAAAACGGTGATTTGAGCCTGTTTTGGTGACGGATTAGAAATTTTGTCTCGTTAGAGGTTGGGTTTGCGGACTGATCCTTTATATTTTTTTTATTTAAAAATACGTGGTCGTCCACTTTGGTACCAAAATTCTAGTGGCTGTTTTATCTTATACCTCTAATGATTTTATCCTGAATCTCCAATTTCCGAAAAATATTCTAATTTCGAGAATTGATTTGAACATGGTTACACTAAAATAAAGGCATTCCAAAATGTTGCCATGGATAAATTATAAAAGATTTAATTAATTATAATAATAGATTAAAGTGATTCCACTAGTCTCCATCATTTTAAACTTAGACAGTAATACGAAGTTCTTTCGTAAACCTCCCAAAGAATCAAACTTGAAATCACTACAAAGCAACCTTGACCACGTATCTATTATTCGAAATCTTTCCCTCTAAGATGACGTTGTTTTTGGGAATACAAATGCAAACCATAGGACAAGGATGTTGTAATCACAAATCTTTGCTTTGTACGATCATCGGGTATGGTGATCATTTCAAAATCTTTGCTTTGTACCATCGTCGGGTAATCACAGGACAAGATGATACACAAGAAATGTGGCAAGATTCGATCCAAAAGCCGTCCAACCCTGCCCCTGAGCTGCTGGGTTGGGTGGCAAGGTTAGCATCCCTTCGTCGCCACTTACCCAAAGGCAAGACATTGCTTTCTTTGACACTGAGACAAGAACTGCTGAGGTAATTGGAAGAATGTCTGCCGAAACCACTCTCATTCAAGATTCCATTGGAGAAAAGGTATATCATACTCAAGAAAATATTAGCTGTTATTTTGCTACATGATCTGCGAGCCTTACATTAACTAGTCTAGAAAATTTTAACAGTGATGATAAGGATTCAAAAACACTGGTAATGAGGAAAATTAAATATCAAACTGTTTGTTTGTGTAAAAGCAGTTTTGATCCGTTTTCTATATCTTATTAAGGTCCATTTTCTGCGACATCTTGGAACAAGATATTCACATGCTTGAGTTAATCAAGGATGTCGATGGTACTTGTTCTCAGATTCTTCGCCTACAGGAAGGAGATAAGGAAGCGAAGGTAGTCAAGCAACAATGTTGATTTAGATAGTCACAGATCTTCCACCCAGAAATAAGTTTCAATGAAAGGTTCATCGGGTAGACACTCCCAGTCGCATAGCTTTGCTCTTTCTCCTTCTCATCGAAGTGGGGGTACATGAGTCTATAGAGAGAAGATGTTTGACCTAAGAAGCCAATAAAGAATTCTTTGAGACGTTTGACCTACTTAACAAGCCTGAAGTTCCTGTCCTAGTTCTCGGATACATTGTTGCGATTATACTTATACAAGGTCTTGTGGTCCCTATGCTTGGCTTCTTGTTTTACTCATCAATATCTATGTTCTTTGAACCTCCAGAAAAAACAGTGGAAAGATTCTAGGTTCGGGACATTCTACACGACGGTTTGAGTTCAGTTACCCTTGTGGCCTTGATTGTGCAAAATTACTTCGTTAGCATTGCTGCGGGAAAATGAGTAGAAAGAATTCATTCACTAACATTTGAAAAGGTTGTGCATCAAGAAATCAGTTGGTTTGATGATCCTGCAAATTCAAGATATTTTTAGCAAGATATTTTAATTATCATGTTTTGCAGTTTCTTATACCGATCAACTAAGGAAACCATTCACTTTCCTGTGGTGGAGTTAGTGCAAGGTTGTCTACTGATTCTTCAACAGTGAAAAGTCTAGCTGGTGACACATAGGCTCTCATTGTGCAAAACTTATCAACAGTAATGGTTGGTCTAGTTGTATCAGTCAATGCTAATTGGATTTTTGTTTTCAAAATTCAGGCTTTCACCCTTGGTCCTATTGCAAGGATTTCTTCAGATGAAGTTTCTTAAAGGATTCAGTGCAGATCCAAGGTTAGTGTTCCTTTCGATTTGCTTAAAATTATGCATTATGGAATATGAATGGACATCAAGAGAATCTTGTCAGCTGTATAGGTAAAGCGTGAAGGGGCAAGTCAGGTGGCAAATGATGCTGTTGGTAGCATCAGAACCATAGCAACATTTGTGCTTAATCAAAGATAATGGACGTGTACAGGAAGAAATGTCTAGAGCCTGAAAAACAAGGGGTTCACTTGGGGCTTGTGAATGGTGCAGGATTTGCTTTCTCTACTCTGGCTCTGTAATGCATAAATGCTACCTTTTTCTATATTGGATCGGTTCTCGTGCAACATGGGAAAGTAACTTTTCCAGAGGTTTTCAAGGTGAAATGGGTCAACCAAAAACCTTATGCTCCCTCTTTATATGATGTTTCATTTGATCTAGTTCTCACCACAAAATTTGAGCATGTCTTTTTTTGTTTAACAATCACAGGGATCGGCATTTCCCTGACTAGTGCCTTCGCCCCTGACACCAATAAAGCCAAAGATTCCGCAGCTTCAATATTTAAACATTCTTGATACTACACCTACCATTGACTCCAGCAGCAATGAGGGTAGAAACACTAGAAGCCATTGTTGGTGATAACCAACTTCGAAACATCAGTTTCAATTACCCAACTAGATCTCATTCAAATTTTCAAATATTCTAGTAATTCATCTTTTGGGCTGTACAAATAAACTTTCTTTGAGAAATGTGATGTAGTTGCATTGTTTAGTTGGAGAAAGTGGCAGTGGAAAATCAGCAGTGATCAGCCTCTTAGATGGAGTGGATATAGAACTGTTTAGACCATAAGCTGGTTGAGGTAGCAAAAAATGGATTTGGTTGGTCAAGAACCTATTGTTTTCAATGAAAGCATTCCTGCCAACGTAGCTTATGGCAAAGAGGGAATTGCTTTGCCTTGCTGCAGAGAGAATGTGCAGGCAGCTAAAGCATCCAATTCATACCTATTCATATGTACTCTTCTTGAAAACAATTGATACTATCTTCAATCCAAAATCTTAAAGATAATAGATTTATGAATGTTTCCTTTTACTCAACTTTTTCATCTTCAATCCAAAATCTTAAGAAAATAGATTTATGAGTTTTTCTTTGCACTCAAATTTTTCATCTCTATTCGATATTTGTGAGAAAGTTAGACTTACACTTAATTTTTAATAGAGTTATGCCGAAAGACTCCAAAATCCTCTTGTTTGATAAGGCAAACTGGTGTACTTGATGTTGCTGAGTCAAAGAATGAAGTTTAAGAGATCTAGATAAAATGAGTGTAAACAGAAGCTCACGGTCTTACAACAATCAAAGGTGCTGATGTAATAGCTGTAACGAAAAATAGGAGTTATCGAAAAGTAAAAACACGGTGGGTTGATGAAGATTACTGATGGAGCCTATGCGTCATTTGTTGCTCTAAAAATGAGTGCATTGGTAATTTCCTATCCAGCACCATTGCTTAGAAAACGGTTCTTATAATGAAATTTCGTAGAGACTTCATTATATCCCTATATTGAGTTCTTGTACTAATAAAAGTAAAGCATGTCTATTTTAGAAAAGAGTAGTGATGTTTTATAATGCTACAAATTCATAGTCAGATAGATATTTTGCTGCATGTTATGCGAAGAACACAAATTAGCTAATATGTAAATTGAAAAAAAAAAGTTTGTGATAATGAAAATGTATGATCGCAATATTAGTCTCAACCCTCAAATAAAGAGACAAACAAATAAACTAATAATAAGGGAGGCATACAGAATAAGAGAAGTTTTGCAGCACATATACATGTGTACTCCTACAACATCTGTCAAAAAAACAAAACCCACAGAAGAAGTAATGAAAATTGAATTAAATAATCACCTGTTGCAAATTCTTGACATTCTAAACGAACTTATATATAATAAAGGTCATATCATACTTAGAAAAACACCAAAAGGGCAGCCGAGACAGCAAGAGTCAAGCCAATTATTAATGATGTGCAAGAAAAGGGCCTCCAAGCAGCTGTACCACAAAGCAAGGCTATATATTAAAATCCATTCCTTTCTAATCAGTAGGATAAACGGTTTTAGTAGTGAAACAACTTCAAAGACAAAACTCAAGATATATTTCAGGAGTTTCATGACTCATCTACCTAATAAAAGTTATCAATAAAGGGAATTATAGATTATCTAAGTTAAACTTTAATTCTGATGAAAGAACAACATAAAATTCTTAAGTAGTTCTGTTCTAATTTCAAAGGCTAAAAAAGTAAGCAAGTGTCAAAGGACTCACCACTTAGAAGTGTAGAGCCATTAGAATAAAACTGATAGTCATTGTACCACATAAAGCAATTAGATCCATAAATTTCCCATCTTCTTTTGTTTCCAATGACAGTTCTGAAAGTGAGCAACTGAGCATCCAAGCACCTTCTGCAATCCTCCCTATTGATATCTCTGGTGCATTGAGCCATGCCATACCTCTTCCCACTTTTACTTGTATTCAGTACTGCTGTATGGAACATGAATGACTTGTCTGGAGCCTCAGCTGCCACTCTACTCATGAAGGGAAGGCCTTCTGAGACCACAGACGGCTCATCAAAGTCAGTTTCATTTGTCACTGTCACACCTGTCTGCTGCATATCTCCGAAGAAGCTCTCATTTGAATACCGTAAGAAACACCATCTAAACCAAATTGTAACATCATTCCTCATAGGACAATCATTTGGGGCTTCTCTGGTGGAATTAAGGGTGCAATCAGAACAATTGCTAGCAGATATGTCCCCTCTACATAACACTGTACCATAAACCCTGTTGGCCTTTTCTCCTACAACGTTTTGGTAAAAACCATGGTGTTCCACTACATTAGATACAAGAGAGTCCAACAAACTTCTCAGATTGGTCTGGAATGTGCCATCACTGTCAGAATAATCAGCTTCTGAGCATTGAGAACCTGATTTCATGTTGGTATCAGCAAGGCAAAAGGTATTTGGAAAGAGAAAAAGAAAGAAGATAGCACATGCCACAACCAAGTACAATATCTGCATCTCTTTGTAATCCTTTCTGTGGCAGACGAGGATGATCAGAAGCAATGAGAGTATGTCACCAACCTTGCAAAATATTGAACTTTTATCCGTTGGCATAATATTGACCTTTTAAAAAACAGTTTTTTTAAGTGCAAGTGTGCAAAGTCAACTCCTGAGTGACAAGCAAATGATCATGTATAAAGTTGTACGCGACATTTTATTACAATGCAATAATTTCTTAAACCTTTGTTTAGTGATTAACTAATCTATACTTATGAACCTCGGAAACACAAACTAAACGTTAATTAAGTAGTTGAATTTGTGGTGGATATCCGTTCAGATTAGATTATTACAATCAAGATTAAGAAAGTCTCAAACAAATCACAATCTAATTCTTGAACCATGTCTTGATTCGAGTAGAATTTTTAGTGGAGTCAGAAACTTTGGCACTAAGTTCCAGAATTTGGGAGATATATCATTTGCTAAAAGAACGAGTGGAATTAACATTAGTATTGTTTTCGTATTAATTAAAGTAGTAATTTGTTCTGACAAGGTAAATATTATATGAAAGTTTTTACATGTATAAAACATTAGCATTTGGATAAACATTGTGAAAAGGAGCATTCCACTTTGGCTAGAAATGATGTTATTGGTGACTCTAATGAGTAATAGTTCCGATTTCTAATCAATGAGATTTCTTTCCTAAAACTCATTAGATAATGAAAAGATGTGCAACGGCACGCTCGTCAATTTTTATTTTTGAGTTGAGGGAAAGAAACAATGGAAAGTAATTAGATACAATGTTGTCAACCATATAATCCACTTTCGATATTATTAAAGAGAAATCTTTATTATTTATGTAAGAAAGTGTAGAACAGGTCTCATTACAATCATAGAGAAAGATAAAACACTAAAATGTCATTGTTTTAAGATGAATTTAACTTCAAAAACACCTATACAGCTTTCGTTTTTGTGGGTTGGATTACTCTGTTTAAGAGCCCAAAAATGTCTCTCATGGTAGCCCAAAAGGCCCCAAAGGTCTCAAATTCCACAATATGAATTATGCTATTTTTTTTCCTATAACATTTCCTAATAATTCTATCAATTAAGGAAACACTAAAAATATTAATTATTAATTAAGATGTAAATTTTTTAATTTATATTTTTAATAAATATATTCCATTTCATATTCTTTTCCGTAACTATTTTATTCAAATATGGTATTTTAACAAGTTTTTAGTCCAAATTTATCAAATAACTGTAATGGTTTACCGGTTGTCAAACTCAAAAAAACAAAATTAATATAAATATATTTTACCTATTAAAATTTGAAACTCAAGAATTTAAATAAAATCACTGGAGATTCAATTCGTAAAATTATAAAACTTTATCTATTATAAAATAGTTTTAAAAACTATAACTACGTAATTGGATAACATAATGATCTTTACTGAACAATAATTAAAATTTCAACTTCGTAATGAAGAAAAAAAGTACCAAAACACAATAATAAAGTATGGTAATATAATTGCGGTAAATAAGATCAAATTACGTTTTTATAAAACAAAAAATTACAGAGCATTATATTTACGTTATATATTTACTTAATATAAAATTTAAACTCACTTTAATCAAAACATGTTTATAGATTTCCAAGTTTCATAAAATATAAATTCTTATCATTCATAAATTACACTAAAATATTTAAATTATTATTGATTTGATGTGGGTGAAGAATAGGAGTGATGTATTTGAAAAACATTGATGTTAGGATAGACTCGAACTATGTAAAGGAAATAGAATTATGTACTTTCTTTAATAAATTAAAGGCATCTTCAACATTTTGAATAAACAGTTTAATTATTGCAACATGATGTGACCCACCAATATTCTTTGATCTTATCAGATTCTTGGCACCTGTTACAGTTTTATATGTATTAATATTCTGAGTATGGTGAATATTTTTTAATCCATGGTTGCTTCATCAACATATTTATTGTTGATTGAACTTAATTGTAGTCTTAAAATAAAATTAATTAATGGTTTTGCTAATTCATAATAATGAGTTTCAATTAATTCAGATAAGTTTTCTCTAGTTAGTTTGTGACATCCGGGAATTGACGAGGGCGGGAAGTGATAGCCGGTGCAAGAGACACGAAGTGTAGGGTCACTGGCAAAGAGCAGCTTCTGGTAGGCTTTTAGTGGAAGGGACACATGGATGAATCGAACATACACCGGAATGAGAGGGATCTAGAGACTGTATAGGTACGTGACTATACAGTTGAAGGATAGCTTAAAGTGATTGATTTGACAACTCATATCACCAAATGTATTTATTTTTCGGTAGCCTAACCTATAAGAACTCTGGTTAAATGTACTTAGCCTGGAATAATTTAGGATGGGTGACCTTCTAAGTTTTTAATGTTTAAAGTTTGAAATCTCAAATTTTATATAAGATAAACATAACTTTTTAGTTTTTAAGTTAAGTGATGTTGATATATGATGCTGTTGATTGAAGTAGGATGGTTCTGGCTTTCCAAGTTTTGGCATCATATGATTAAGATATTATTACTTTCTATATTTCGAGATCAAAGTATAATGTTGATTATATAAGGACAATCTATAAGTATAAGACATTTGTCAAACAAGAACAAAAACTGTCGAGTCACCAAGCAATGTAAAAATGTATGAAAATTGGCCACTTTGGAAATATGTTTCCATGTACACTAATCATTTTGTCAAGCATATATTATATTATAATATCGTTTGGTGGATTGGATTGTCTATAGATTAGTGGATAATTTATTTTTATTAAAAATTTAAAATATTCTGTAGTAAAATATATGAATTAAATCACCTTTTCACTGTCACTTTATAACAGTAACACATATCACTGTATAACTGTTTTTATTATGTTACACTATTTCTTTCACGAATCTTCATATTTAAAAAAATAAAAA